CACCCAAATCCTTAATACAGCCGATGGAAGTAGACTATTTATCAAATACAAACTTTCCAATGCAAAAATATGTACGGAAGGACATTGCTTCCCTACTCCATTCATCATGGTCAAAGGACTCAGTCAAGCTGTAATTTTAGGAGTCCCTTTTCTTATTTTATTATATCCAGTTACAGTTTCAAGTACAGGCCTTGAAACAAATATACATGGTACACCTATTAGATTTGAATTTCTTGATAAACCAAGAATTAAAGAAATAAATACTGTTAAACAAAATATCAAAAATAAAGAAAGCTTCTTAGGATCATTACAATTGGAAATCAAACATAAGATTATAAACGAAAATCTCCAATCTTCTGAAATAATACAAAAAATACATCAACTTAAGAATATTATTAAAAACGAAATATGTAATGACCTACCCAATGCATTTTGGCATCGAAAACAACATATAATAGGATTACCATATGAAACCAGTTTTGATGAATCAAAAATACCAACTAAAGCTAGGCCAATCCAAATGAATGCCGAACTACTACAAACATGTCAAACAGAAATAAATGATCTACTCCAAAAGAAATTAATACGTCCTAGTACTTCTCCCTGGAGCTGTTCTGCTTTCTATGTTAACAAAAATGCTGAACAAGAACGAGGTGTTCCTCGACTTGTCATCAATTATAAACCCCTTAATAAAGTTTTAAAATGGATCCGATATCCTATTCCAAATAAAAAAGATCTACTAGATAGATTATTACATGCTGTAATCTTCTCCAAATTCGATTTAAAATCCGGTTTTTGGCAAATCCAAATAAACGAAAAAGATAAATATAAAACAGCCTTTAATGTTCCCTTTGGACAATATGAATGGAATGTCATGCCATTTGGATTGAAAAATGCTCCATCTGAATTTCAAAAAATAATGAATGATATATTCAATCCCTTTTCCAAATTTATGATTGTTTATATTGATGATATTCTCGTCTTTTCTGAATCCATAGAACAGCATTTCAAACACTTACATACTTTTATCCATTCCATAAAGACATCTGGTTTAGTAGTTTCTTCTTCAAAGATAAACTTATTTCAAACAAAAATCAGATTCTTAGGACATAATATAAATCAAGGAACTATCATCCCAATTGATCGCTCAATACTTTTTGCTGATAAATTCCCTGATAAAATCTTAGATAAAACTAAATTACAACGCTTTCTAGGATGTCTAAATTACATAAGTGATTTTTACCAAAATCTTGCTTTAGATGCAAAACCTCTTTATGATCGCTTGAAAAAGCATCCTCCCCCATGGACTGATATTCATACTTTAGCTGTTCAACGTCTTAAACTTAAAGCTAAAGAACTTCCATGTTTAAACCTCGTTGATCCTATTGCATTTAAAATCATTGAATGCGATGCTTCTGATCTTGGCCTTGGAGGCATCTTAAAACAATCTCTTAATAATTCTAAGGAACAATTAATACGGTTTACTTCAAAAGCCTGGAATCCAACTCAAAAAGAATTATTCCACTGTTAAAAAGGAAATACTTGCTATCATCCATTGTGTTTGCAAATTTCAAACTGATATTCTCAATCAACCTTTTCTCATACGCACTGATTGTAAAGCTGCAACGGATATTCTGCAAAAAGATGTCCAAAATCTTGTTTCTAAACAAATTTTTACCCGTTGGCAAGCCATTTTATCTGCCTTCGATTTTTCCATTGAACATCTGCACGGCTCTTCTAATTCCCTTCCTGACTTCTTAACCCGTGACTTTTTGCAGGGGGGACCATATCCATCATCCTCCTAAAGAATCCTCCTAAAGAAGACGACAACAGGACATTCCGCCCTACAGTTTTCTCTTCTCAAGGTTTGCATATCTCTAAACATATTACTAATACAAAAATGAATCCTTCTTCCAAAGGCAAACAACCAATGGACCTAATTCAAAGCAATAGATATGGGCCTCTCATGCCCAGTCATTCTCCTCTGGACCTAACCCCTATGTCACCCTTGAGGTCCACAAATGTACCAGAATACATAATCCAGTCTCCTCCACAAAGCCCATTTGTTACCCCAAGTCCAGCATTCACCCCAGCATCGTATCCCAATAAACAAACTTCAAATTCTCCCAAGTCAGTATATACTGATACCGCTTTCTTACCAGAAACTATTATCTCAGACAATC